GGCGAGGCCCCCGCCCGTGCCGGCGGTCCCGCAGCGCTCGGGGGGGCGCGGGCGCGGTGCCCCCTCCCCGCTGCCGCGGGGCCGCCCCGGGCAGCGCGGGCGCTCCAGGACTACAAGTCCCGTGGTACCCCGCGCGGCGCGGTGACGTCACGCGCGGCGCTGGGGTTACCCCGCGCGGCCCCGGATGTAAGTCCCTTTCCCCCCCGGAAGGTGAGGATGGCGGAGCTCCGAGGGCTCGGCAGGGGCCCCGCGCTCCATCCGCCGCCATCCGCGCACCCCGCGGGTACCGGCGCGGCCCGCAGCCCTCGGGGGACGGCGGGGGGTTGGGACAGGCGCGACAGGGGGAGAGGAGCGGGAGTGTCGCGGCTGTGGGCGGGCCGGGCCGCGGCGGGATGTGGAGGCCGCGCCGGAGAAGCGGGAACGGGCTGGGCTGGGCCGGGACTGGGGCTGAGCGGGGCTGGCCCGTGACTGTCCCGCCTGTGACCACCCGGGACAGAGGCGGCTGTCTGTGTGTCCACGGGCTCCCCACGGAGCAGCGCTGGGTGCGATCGGTGAACTCGTCGCTGGTGTAACTAGCGCGGAGCAGCATTTTGCGGGAAGCAGTGGTTGCTCAGCCGCGGCTGTAAAGGCGGCTGACAACTGTCAGAAAGGTGTAAGGGATCGCTTCGATTCTTTTATTTTGTTTCTGTCACTCGAAATGTGCGCACCTTGTAATGAGCCCTAGTTTGTGTGATCCTCAGATGGCGGGTGAGAAGGCGCCCGCGGAGAAGAAGCCGGCCAAGAAGAAGGCAGGAGAGAAGAAGCCGGAGCAGAAGCCGATCCAAAAGGCAGCCGGGGACAAGAAGAAGAGGGTGAAGAAGTACCATGCCAGCAGGAACCCCGTCCTGGCCCGCGGCATCGGGAGGTATTCCCGCTCTGCCATGTATGCCAGGAAAGCCCTGTACAAGCGCAAGTACACGGCTCCAGAGACAAAGGTGGGATAGGAAACACTGTGTTTGAGCCAGCGGGGTGCCTTTGGTTTGAAATGTCAGGAGTTCTCCCTGTTCTTTGCCTACAGATAGAAAAGAAGAAGAAGGAGAGGCCCCGTGCCACCATCACCAAGCCAGTGGGCGGAGACAAGAACGGAGGCAGCCGGGTGGTTAAAATCCGGAAAATGGTATGGCAAAGCAGTGGGATGCTCATGGTTTGGGGCTGTTCTGGGTAACCTTGGGCTGGGTGATGAGCCTCTTGCCTGAGGCGGCTTAGGGACCTCAGGCTCAGCTGTGCTTCAGTGAACTGTTGGCAATGCTCACCTTGAGATACAGATCCAGGGTACTTGGGAGATGGTGGAATTTAGGGAATGGTTGTAGGCACGAGCAGCTTCTGTGCTGTTTGTGTTGCTGTGCTGAGGTGGAAGCACACACAGAAGTACAGAGCTGGCTGCAGCTTTCACTGTGCACCGTTGCCCAGGAAACACTCCGTGTGTTCCCATCACCGGCTGCAGCAGAAACAAATCCTTCAGAAAGCTGAACTTTGGGAAACAGGGAGAATCTTGGTGAGGGGTTTCTGCCGTGTGGAATGCAGGCATTAAACCACGTTGCTGCTCTCCCCTCAGCCCAGGTACTACCCCACGGAGGACGTGCCCCGCAAGCTGCTGAGCCACGGCAAGAAGCCGTTCTGTGAGCACAAGCGGCGGCTCCGCGCCTCCATCACCCCGGGCACGGTGCTCATCCTGCTCACCGGGCGGCACCGCGGCAAGGTGAGTCCCCCTGGTGCCCCCCCAGCCCCACGGGGAGCTGAGATACCCCAGATCTACCAGCTGATGTCACTGGTCAGCCGCTGGGTGCAAATCTGTGGCTTGTGTCTGGATGCTTCCCTTGCCCGGCCGTTAAGGGATGCAGACTTTAAATGTTTTTTAAATTAGTGTTTTTCTGCACAGAGCTGGGAGTAGAACAGGCTAATCCAGTTTGCTTAGACAAAATTAAAGGAGTCTTGGTGCAGTGCAGAGCAGCAGACCCAGGTCATATTTCTATTGCTGCTGCAGCAAAGGCAAAACTTAGTTTTTTAGTATCTATTGCAAAGGAAGAATGACATTTTCATTCTTAATCTAATTATTAAGGTAACAGTTGATTGTTATGTTGTATACTTCATCTTAATGATGCTTAACTAACATCCTTTACATCCTTTATTTTCTTGGACATTCTTGCTCTATGTCACATTACATAAAGCTTGTTCAGAGAAGGCAAACTTGACCAGAAATAGTAAGACATAACTGGGGGATTGCTCTGACCGTGTGATGTTGTGATGCCTTTCTGGGTTTTATCCAGTTCCTGCCTTTAATTCATATAAAGAATTTTGGGGATGGGATGGCTGTTGCCATCCTGTAGGATGGGCAAAGAGTAAAACTGTAGTAATTGGATTTGCTCTGCCTTGAGCAATGAGGCAAAAGGAGAGTCCCAGAGGAGGTCCCTGGCAGAGCTGTGCTCATGGAAGTGCTGTAGTTTGGATCCCAGGGTGGCAATTCCTCAGGTTGCACAGCTGCACCCACACCTGGAGCACTGTCAGTGCCTGTACCAGTCCCAGGCCCGGTGTGGGCACAGTCCCAGTTTGGCTGTGGTACTGGAGTGCTGGCACCTGAGAGCTGATGGCACATCTCATTCCTTTACAGCGTGTTGTCTTCTTGAAGCAGCTGGACACTGGCCTTCTGCTGGTTACAGGTAAAAACTTTTACAGCCTTGCGATATTTTTGTTTGGTTTGGGGGTTCAGTGGGTTTGGGGTGGGTTTACCAAGTTCAGGTTCGTCTCTGGGGTCAGTAGCACAACCAGTCTGCATGTGGGTGGTTTGTTACATCATGTGTTCATGGGACAACATGGAATCACATTTTGTGGTGGAGTCCCCATCCCTGGAGGTGTTCAAGGAATGACTGGACGTGGCACTCAGGGCTCTGGACTGAGTGATGAGGTGGGGATGAGTCACAGATTGGACTCCATGGTCTGGGAGGTCTTTTCCAGCCTGAATGATTCTGGGATTTGTGACTTTGCAGGAAGGTGGAGAGGAGATAATTAAGCTTCAGCATCTGACTATGTGGAAGAGACCAGGAAGCATTTTTTGGTATTTCTAGAGGGGAAGGGCTTTAAATGTTCAGATTTTAGCTGTAGGCATCTCTGAAGGAAGTAGTCATCACATACACTAAAAAAATTCAATTTCAGAGCAACCCTTTTAACCAAAAAAGCTGATTTTGTTGTCTTCCCTCTACCTTCAGGCCCCCTGGTTGTCAACCGTGTCCCCCTGCGTAGGGCCCACCAGAAGTTTGTTATTGCCACATCTACAAAGGTTGATCTCACTGGAGTGAAAATTCCCAAACATCTCACTGACTCCTACTTCAAGAAGAAGAGGCTGCGGAAGCCCAAGCACCAGGAGGGCGAGATCTTTGACACTGAAAAAGAAGTAAGAGATGTGGTGGTTCATTGAATTCCCATGTGACCCCAGGCCAGGCTCCAAGGGGGGAATAGCAGGGAACAAACAGCTGGATTTTATGTGACCCTTAATCAAATGAGGGGATGCCATTAAAATAGATTAATACGGCATTGAGATAAAACCCTGCTAAATTTGGGGATTCTTCTCTGCTTGTACCTCAGCAGACCAGCAGCAGGGATTGTTCCAGTTGATTAAATAAATATAAATCTCTTTTTTTGAGTGAGAAACACCTTTCCTGGTTGGATCCTGCCAGCAGCATAAGCCAAACAGGGGCTTCAGTGCTGAGCTACTTCAGGTCTCCCACTCCATTCCCCTTATTTAGAACAAATGAAGATTTCATAAGAATGTCAAAACTTAGGGTTTTCCCTGAACTTTCTCCTTTCTGCAGAAGATTCTGAGGTCATTGTGCAGGATTTTCATGTTCTTCTCTGTGCTTTGTAGAAATACGAGCTGACGGAGCAGCGCAAGGCAGACCAGAAGGCCGTGGATTCCCAGATCCTGGCCCGGATCAAGAAGGTGCCTCAGCTCCGTGGGTACCTGCGCTCCACCTTCTGCCTCTCAAACGGAGTCTATCCTCACAAATTGGTGTTCTAGGCCTTCTGAAAGCACCACATTAAATTCCAAGGGAAAAAAACCAAGGATTTCTGGTGTGTTCATTGCAATCTGTGACGGCACATGTTACACAAGGCTTGCCGTGCACGATTTAACAGGTAGAAAAGTGCCTGTGGCATGAAATTCTGAGGGACTACATGTAATGACCAGAACTTTGAGTGTGAGGTTTGGGGTGTAGTAATTTTGGTTGGTTGGGTTGGGTTTGTTACATTTTTTTTAACTATTTGCTATAAACAGAAATTCAGCTTTTTTAACTTTGAATGAGCTGGGGAGGGATCCTGAAGAGATTTTCTTTTGGGCATAGCAGATAATGCTGGGTTGACACAGTGCACAATAAAACCCAGCCTAATTTCTGCTGACATACTTCTCTCCACACTTGCTGTGCTGAAACCAGGGCTTTGGTTTGTTGGTTTTTTTTGTGGAGAACCAGCTCTGTCAATAAAACTTTGCAGGTAACTCAGCATTTTAAACCTTTTGCACAGCTCTTGAGACGGTGTTTGTCAAACAGCTTTGATCCATCACTGACCACATGAACCTCAGCAAATATAGAACTTTTTAGAGGCATTTCAGGAGCTATGCCTTGGATTTTAAAGTGGAAGCACTAGGAACACTTGAGTTTTGCACAGTGACTTATCCCTGGAACCATAACAAAATTTGGAGAGTATGTCCCTTTCCTATTCTTTGTGGGATGGAATGCTGTTAGTTGGGAGGAATACCACCTGCTTAGATCAGAAGGCAAATCCTTAATTCTGTAGGCTTGGAAATTGGTTGAAAAGCTGTTTCTGTGAAAGGGAAGTATTCTTCTCTCCTGGGAGACTTCTGGAGTCTCAGTAATTTTTCCTATCTCTAAAACTTTTTGAAAGTGAGTTGAAAAAGTTAGTCCTGTGTGTTTTCTTGATCTGTCACAGTCAGCAGAAATCTGGAAGAGGATGCCTGGGTAGCAGTAGCTCTGCTCTTACAAAAACCAGGGATGTACATATTAACAAACCTGGCAGGCTGGAGCTCTTTCTTAGCCAGACTTCTGCAGGAATGGAGGATTATGTAACTGCGCCATCTGGCTGCCCATTAATTCTGAGCTCAGAGTAGCCAACGGGGTCAAACTTGATGAGGAATAAATAAGAGATTTCATCAAATTCGTGCAAGATTTATGAGAAGGGGATGGGAAAGGGAGCAACACAACCCTGTCTGAGGTGGGAGCTTACATGGCACATAGCTGCTCGTTGGGAAAGAGGAATTGGGATTTGAGTGCTCCAGAGGCAGTGGAATAACTCAGACACCTGCAGAACACCTGGCTGGCACCCAGGGGCTACAGGTATTGGTACAGCTGGTGCTTGGGGGGGTGTTAAAATTTGTGTGGAAGTAACAGCACTGGTTACTTAGACCATCTTCCCCTGGATAATTAACAGGCTGGGAGAGCTGAGGGTGTTCACCTGGAGAGGAGAAGGCTCCAGGGAGAACTTAGACCCCCTTCCAGTGCCTAAAGGGGCTCCAAGGGAGATGGAGAGGGACTTTGGACAAGGGCCTTGAGTGCCAGGACAAGGGGGAATGGCTTCCCACTGCCAGAGGGCAGGGTTAGATGGGATGTTGGGAAGAAGTTCTTTGCTGTTACTGTGGTGAGCCCTGGCACAGGTTGCCCAGAGAACCTGTGGATGCCTCATCCCTGGAAGGGTTCAAGGCCAGGCTGGACAGGGCTTGGAGCAACCTGGACTAGTGGAAGGTGTCTCTGCCCATGGCAGAGGGTGGGACTGGGTGAGCTTCATGGTCTCTTCCAACCCAAACCACTCTGGGACTCTCTGTAAGTACCAGGAGGTTCAGCAGAGGGAGGCAGTGAGCCGGCTGTGTCCCGGTGCAGAATTCCTGCCCTGGCTGAGTGCGTGTTTCTGTTGCTCTGTGCTGTGTTCTGCCCTGTGTTCTTTATTTTTCCCTGTCATTTTGTCTATGATGAGTTACATTTTCTGTTGTACTTGGTTTGCTGGATCATGGGTATAGTCAGAGGATTTTAAGTTGATGGGAGATTTTCTTGCAGTGGTGGGACTGGCTTGTTCACATAAACAACTCTAAAAGGATACAAAAGGTTTGCATCCATCTCCCTGCCGCTGCTCAGGTGAAGTCCACTGGTACTGCCAAGGAAAAATTTTAACCCAATATGCTTAGAAAGCTCAGTTAAAATAAAAATTGTATGTGGGAACACTTATATGGGAAAAGCCCCATCGAGCAAGTGGAATCAGAATAGTTTGTATCAGCACGTGGTATTGCAAGGTCTGCAAACCCAGATTCAGTCACACAAGTTGTGGCCTGAGAGCAAACTGAAGGAGGTACTACAGTACCAGTCTGCAGTACCAGAATGCTCCAGTCATTCCCTTCCCCTCTGGGAATGGGGAAGTTGCAATAACAAAATAACCCTGTGGGTTTGCCTAAAAACACAACAGTGTTCTCTGTAATTAATTACTGGTTACCTGACACATTCCTCAGCTGTGTATCAGAAGACATGAAGTGATACCTGGACCCATTACCTTTGTTTACTGGCAGGGGAGGCTTTGTCTCCCAATGTGCTGTCAGGAAGAGGTTTGGAGATAGGAGTCACAGATCCTGGTATGGAGCAATGGCCTCACCTGCTGCCCTCACCCTGGTCCTGTCACCTCTGTGGTGACCAGGAACACACCCTGCAAGGTGGGCAGGGAGGGAGGGATATGTCTGTGCTGCTGTCAATCCCTGGACTGAGTCACTGGGCCCAGCTGGATGCTGGTGTCACACAGGGATGTGGGAGCAGGCCTGATGGAAAATTGGAACACCAAATCCTGCCTTTCCGGGGCTGAGCAGCTCCTTGGGCTTGGAGACAGCACTACCTTCATCACAGCTGTGATGTGTCTCTCTCTAAAATATTTTCCTTGAGTGCTGTGGAATCTGCCTTCTTCCTGAGCTGCTTCAGGATGACGGATGGAAAACAAGAAAAACAAGGACTGTACAGGTGACTGACACAGAAACAAAGTGAACATTCCAAAGGATTTTTCACTGTCCACTACCTGGCAAATCCTTGCCCCACATAAAGAGCCTTTGTGTGTGCTCTGCCTGTCCCACAGCCATTCTCATTCCGAGCATGCAAACAGTTCTGCAGTCCTGGCTCGCTGAGTCATTGCTTTTCCCTGTGCAGCCCCCACAGAAGAAGCCAGAGCCATCCAAAGCCTCCCTCACCCAATCAGAAGTGCTGGAGATGTGCAGGGCCAAAAATAGTGACAGACTCAACCACAGCAGCACTTCATTAGCATCAAATGTGCTCTTTGCTTCAGCTGCCTAATAAAGTGATATGTAATTATAATAAAGCATCCTTTGGAGAGGAAAGAGAGAGGGATGTTGGCTTTCCCAGGGAATTGGTAATAAGATGTGATGCCTTGTTATCTCCAGGCACCTGTTCTTACCTGTGAGATGTGCAGTGACCCCGTGGGTGCAGTTCCAGCCTGGCTCTGTCCAGCTCCTGTGTCAGGAACAGTCTCAGGGAGGCAGCCACTGGCTTTGCTCCTGGAATGAGGATCCTTTGGGACCAGGATCCTTAGGAGAAACAGACAAAGTACTTTGTGGTGCCAGCTTTGTAGAGAAGGTTACCATTGGCACACATGGGCTTAACTTCAATTAAGAGAAGATGGCTGTGGCTGGAGTGTGAAGGAGCTTTTACAGGGCTGCCCCACCTTTTGGGACTGGTGGTGAGGAAAATATGCCAAATTCCCAGATGTCCAGGGATTGCTCAGTTCACCTGTGCTATAGGAAGTGCCTTGTCATGGAGAGGCTGAACCTTTTCCCCCATTTATTGCCACCTGATCCCTGCCCTTCTTCTCATAGTTCGCAGAACTGTTGCCACTGGTGCAAAAAAGAGTCCCTCTGGATCTCCCCACAAGCTCAACAAAGAATAAATAGAGTTTGGGGACAGTTTCTTTGTCTTCACCTGGAAGAAGATGTGCTTTAGCATCAGAAAATGGAGGCAAGAGCAGCTGAGAAGAGCTGGCCTAGGCAGTGTCCCTCTAGCAAAATCAAGATGATTCCTTTTGCCCTTCTCCAGGTGCTGATTCCCATCCCACTTTAAATGATTCCATCATTGGAAACCCCATCCAAATAGACTTTACTAGCAGAATTTGTTTCAGATTCTCTTATATTCTTCTTTCAGTACATTTTGTTTCTTGTCCTTCAGTACAGGGGCTTCCTGGTCTCTCCTTAATTAAAATCAACTGGTTTTAAAATCAAAACTGTTTTTTTGCAGCTCCTACAATTTTATCAGCTCTTACTCTGTTACAAGACAGACACATGAACAGCTTAGTCTGAGATCTATAGCTTCACAGGACAGTCATCTAAACTCCACTACACTTCCATCCTTATTGTTCTGAAGCAACATGTCACATAAATACCAATCCTGTGGGTACAGAATTAAGAGCTCCTGCTCCTGTTGTGTTTTGGGAACAGCATCTGAAGTTCCCAGCACCTATTAATTTGATTTCTCCAGTTCTCCTGCATTACAATCTGCACTAAGCACTTGATAACTCATTGTTTAAGCAATTAGAACAATTAAAGCCTTATTTTTATAAGTATCTTATTCCTGTGTTGTTCAGGAAGCCACTGATTGAGCACAGCCAGCCACTGTCCCTGAGTCACACCTGAGGGTGGGTCTGGAATGGTTACATGTGGAATTTGACACATGTGCCAACAAACAACCACGAACATTTTTCCTTGTTCAGTTGCTTTTCCATTGTTTGTTGTTTGGGATTTTTTAGGGGGGCAGTTTTGACCCTCTGACCTATGAAGAGTCAAAAAAACACCATGTTTGTCAGCTGACTGCCTTTTTTGGCTAATTCTTTTCCCTTTTCCCACCATTACTTCAAAATTTATCTGGGAAATGACTTCACATGATATATTGCACACAGAGCCAGCAGCTTCTATGACCTAACCATGGTTCACACTATACCAGACATAAATACTTATTAGTTGTAATAATGATGAGGAGAGAGGGAGCATGGTAGTCAAAATAATACTTGAGATTCAAGAAATTCAATCTTTTTCTCAGCTCCATGGATTTTTCTTTGTGATCCTGAGCAAGTAACTTAATTTCAGTGAAGCCAGTGCTCACACACTGCAGAAAGCAGAGATACTTTCTCATATCAAGTCTCAGGAAGTGTTTTAAACTTCTGCAGGGAAAAAAAAATTATGTCTATGCTTTAAAGTACATAAAAGAATAAAAGGTCTTTGCTTGGATGACACTGAGGAGAGAGCTGATCCATTATTCTAATCTTGTTCTAGTGAGATCATATCAACATTTAATACTAAAAAATACAAACATTGTGTTGTGTTGAAGACTGGCACAGGTGACAGGAGAAATCAATGTTTTCACAGTCCTGTTTATCAGTTTTAATGCTGGTTTTTTTGCAGAATTTAGTCCATTTTATTTGTACAATATTCAGAATGTCTGGTGCCATTCTGTGCTCCTGCACTTTGCCCAATTAGCAGTTCCCAGTGCTTTGCCTGCAGATTATTTTTAATGATGATAATAACCAGGTTTTCATACTTTACATCCACTGAGCACATTGGCCTTGTGACACCCAGTAGAGGCAAAAAACTGCCATTAGAACACCAAGAAATTACACAAAGGTAAAATCTTCTATTTATCCATTGAAGCAAGTCAGTGAGTGCAGAGAACCACACCAAGGCTCTAAATCTCATGGAAAAAACAGAGACTAAACCAGAAGCAATTTCATCTTCATCTCTTTTGTCAGTCCTACCTAATGCAGAGGGTTTTCACTCTATTGACAGATGCACTTAGGATGTAATTGTCTTTAAAATTAAGGCTTTCAGGTATCACCATGTGCAGTACATGCTATCTTATTGTTCAAAATGCCCATTTTCACATGAGGAAGTAAAATACAAGCTAAAACATACAGAAGTAGTGCAAATTATGTCCTTGATTCCAAAGGGAGGAAGGTTAATTTTCACAGCAAGGAGATATGAAGAGCCTAAAAGAATGATGCACCCTCAAAATGTTCCACTGGAGATGTTCAGGTATCATGAGTATTCCAGTTCCTGGTGTGAATGTCCTGCTAAGCTGAAGGGAAGATCTGTTTTGGGGAATTTCATAGAAATTGGTGGGTAACCATAACTGTCCCTTCAAATAAGCACAAAAAAAAATGAACAAATGCCCCTCTAGAATCAGGGAACTGAAACCACAGCAACTCTTGTTCAAATGAGAGGCACATGGCAAAGCTTCTGTACATTGCACATTATCCACATGGCTTCCCTGAGCCTGACCCACAGTGCAAAAAGGGCATTTGAAACCTGGAGCTTTGTGTGAGAGAAAAAAGCCCAACACATGCACAGAGCAGGGACACAGAGGGAGAAAGGGGAAAACTGCATTTTAAGGCTGCTGATGCAAGAGAAAACTTCGAGAGGGCTTTTTTTTTTTTTTTGTCCAAATCCTGGCTTTGGTCAAAGCAATGTGCACAAAACCCTGTGGTTTATTTAATCCAGTGCTCTAGGAAAAAAGGTTTTCATGCTTTGTAATTAAACAGGACTTCATCAAGGCAGTATCTCACATCCTCCTGTAACTGTCTTCTAACACAGGTGACCCCTTAATCCCCAAACTGCCCAACAGCTTGAATAAAAAATATAAATTAAAATAATATAAATAACATCCTGTGGCTTGGGTTTATCTGCAATAAGTGCTGATTTCACCTGAAAGGGTTTCCCAGCATGATCCAGTCAGTGCAGCTGCTCCTGAGGATTTATAATAAAGAATTTCTATCATTCTTCCCACTCTGTCACCCCGAGCTTCAACTTTTCATGTCATTCAGTTGCCACCACACCAAGCCTGGGCAGACTGGGCAATCAAGCCTAAAAAATGGCTTTTTAATGTGTTTGCCCTGCACAATGAAGAGCCACATGAGAACAGTCTGGCAGACTGGAGCACAATACATAGAGTGTGGTCCCTGTGTTGCATGGGCAGGGCTGGGCTGATGTTATTTGTCTGTGAACTAATGATCTGAAGAAGGGGATGATGCTGGTGGAGTCCTCCAAGCAGTGGTGGCTTTGGCTGACTGACAGCACTGCTTTTGGGTCTTCTGTTGATTGATTGTAAAGTAATTTGAGTTGAAGGGCAATTCACTGTTCTTCATGGTTTATCTGTAGCGATGTTCTTTTTAAAGAAACACTGTGATATTGTTAAGCACAAAATCAAAGTACATAAAACCATTCCAGAAAAGACTGACTTTTAACTGCCAGGGCCAGGATTTTATAAGCACGTGCCACTCCACTGCAGCATCATAAACTCAACTCTACAACATTCCAAATGAAGAAACTCTCCTACCTGTAACAGCATGAAATGATTTTCATCCATCCTGGCTTCACCTGCAGGCCAGTCCAGCCCAAATCTGTGGAATGATGAATTATTTGGCCTTTACTGGTTTGTGCCATCTGGCTGTAAGGAACAGAGGGAAAAACAGGTGAGTCATAGTGAGCATAAGAAGACTGAACTCTCACAGAAATCAGCAGTATCCCTTCACTGACAAAACCACAGCAGACTTCTAGAGCCCTTTTTGTTTGTCTCCCTCGTATTTATATCCCATCAAATTGTTCACTCGCGGTGACTTTATTGTATAATAGTTCTTGCTCTTCCTTTAAAAGCAGATTCTTGGCTGGAAATAACAAGTAAGAAATGCTGGAAATAACAAGTAAGAAATTTCTCCTTTCTCCTGGAAAGAACAGGAGAAATGCTGCAAGAAAGAAAGGAAGGGGAGGAAGGCACTATGGGAAGAGCACCTTGGGAGATGTGGGCACTTACAGCTGCAAGACAGCACCACACAGGGAGCAAAATTGTTCTCCCCAAAGGAAAAGCCACTCCAGTTTGCACAGCATGGCTTCAGCTCTCAATTAGTGCCTTTCAGTCTTAAGTTTGTTTTGAATGCCTGTCACCACTGAAGAGAAAATCAGCACAGACTAACAGTTGCTCAAGCCAGGGATTCACTGCCCTGCCTCCCTTTCCTCAGCAAAAAGGGTTGTTAGTGCTGCAGTGCCTGTGCAAACCTGCTAATTAAGACTTCACAGTCTTGGAACTGATTGATGAATTTCAAGTAAAAGACAAAGATGACAAAAGTTCAAAAGCCACCCCATTTAAAATTCTCATTTGAAATCTGACTTTGGCTCTTTTCTTTGGTGTCCTGTTGTTTCAGACTCCCCAGTCATCCCTTTTTAACAGTCTCCTTACTTGGAGATGTGCTTGTGAAAGGTGAGTCAGTTTTGGGTGAACAACAAGTAGTGAGTTGGGGGGGTTATTCCCAAGATTTCTACCTCAGCACGGGTGACTGAATAGATTTTTTGTCAGGGTTGGCACAACTCGGTCTAAAATGTAAAAAACCACCTCCAGCCTTTTGCCATAACCAGCTGCCTCAGGCCTCTCCTTCTGGGTAACACCTACAAAACAGGGCTTGTGGACTCAAGCTGGAAAAATTCTGATTTTTGACATCTCCTACAGGTCTTTCTGCTTTCTCCCATCCATGGGCTTCTTGAAACACAGTGATGGGTTCCAAATCCAAATACAGGCAGTGCTTTGTGTTTTGCTCTCAAGCAGTTCCATTTTGGGTCTGTAAAACATCACAGGAAGATTTTATTTTTCGGTGGCTCTTCCAGCTGCTACAGAATTCTAGGGAATGAGGAAAAATCAGTAGTAGAGACAAATTCTTGCCAGTCATAGTAATTCCAGCTTTCCACCCACTTACCTCTTCATACATTTCATTTTACTATATTTATTACATGTATTTTAAACTCTCAGTGTCAAAATATTACTAACCTTACTGTATGATGGAGTTAGACTGAGTTATATGAATGAAATTAAATTAGCCTAATATTTATAACCTTTCCTAGATAGCTTAAATTTCTAGTACTCAAAAAAAGCTATGAAAACTTATAATTTATCTTACTCCTAAAGTATTTTTTTGGTAACAAACCAAGACTTTTATCAACAAAAAATGAAAAAGCCAAGATGTACTTCCTTCAATTTTTTGATTAGTTCTGCTTTGTCACAGAGGAAAAACATCCTTATTTGAGACTGAAATGGAATAATTTGAAACCTGCTTAGGATATATTGGGTATCACTGTACCAGGAAAATGCTGAAGCTTGACATAAATATTTATATATTTGTGGTTCTGATGGGATGATTGGGTGTAAAAAGGATGTAAAATGGTATTAGGATACATGTATTATAATTTAAAAAATCTCCTCTGTTGACAGTAATGATATAAATATGGATAAATAATTATAAATAAAATATAAGCTCCTGTAGGTGTCATAACAATATTTTTCTGCAACTCTATAGGGACCATCCCCAAGTGAGTTTCGATGCTAAGGGAGATTTTAAGAAAATGTACAGCTGGTAGAAAACTTACCAGAATTTGAAATCAACTCATCCTGTGAATAAGTCACATTTAACCAAACTTCAGTTGGAAAAAGAATGGAGAAAAATGTCAAAACAGGGATTTGGAGTTTTCATTTCAGTATTAATTTCATTCAGCATCACTTCTGAGATGCAGCTACAGCTGCTCTCCCCGTGCTTCCCTTTTCCATCAGGTTTGGGTGGTGGGAACATCCTCATCCTCCCTCGGGAAGTCTGAGGCAGGTTTGACAAATGCTTCAGTGAGAGCTGAATGAACCTTCCAGGGAGGAGAGTGAATCAGGCACAGCCTGGGATTCACTGTTCCCACCTCCCCTAGAGCTGGGAAGGGATTCACATCCTCTTTGCCTCTTCATACCCAGGAGATTTAAAATTGTATCACGGGGCTGTGACTCCGTGTGGCACTCACACTGACTTCACTAAAATGAAAGCTTTTAAAATTTTGCTTTCTAACACAAAATAGAAAAAACAAAATAGACAATTTAGCTGTCTGCCCTGGAACAGAAGATATATTTGAATAACAAGGCAATGCTTCTAAAAGAGAAATCAAAAGTCTGTGTGTTCTGTGTCAGCAACTGGAATTCTTTCTTGATGTCAATAAATAGCTCTCAAACAAGTGGATTTGCAGGATTAGTATTTCAACCAATTTACTTGGGAAATTAGAGAAAATTATTGAAATGTAGAAACTCAAATTATTTCTTCATAGTCAAGGAGAAAATCAGCTTATGACACTTTTTCTTTCCAAGAGTTTTAAATAAAATTTTAGGTAAATTAAAGGGTAAATATGAAGCCAGAGATGTTCTGGCAAAGGTATTTGTTGTATTTGTGTCTGAGCATCAGCCCCACCTTGGTGCTACTCAAAATCACTGCTGTTCTTGCAGCAACCATTGATCCAAAAACTTGCCATTTTTGGAACTCATTTTCAAGAACTAATTTTAAACCCCTCAGATCTCAGCCAGGCTGTCACAGACCTTGTGAATTTAACATTGCAAACCCTGAGAAACACAAGTGGACCTTGTAATAATTTGTATGAATTATATAAACCCACCTCGTTACATTTATATCTTCACAATCTGGAGCAGAATATTGTAGCAGGGTTTGTTTTTTTTTCATTTATTTTCCCCTCGTGTTACTGCACCAGTTTTCAGAGAGGTTGAATTTTAAAACAGCACCGAATAGCTGTATTTAAACCTACCTATTTTTGGATATTAATAATGAGCCTTCTGAGACATTTGAGATTCAGAAATTCAGGACAACCACTCAGGGATCTGTTCAGCTCCCAACCACTCTTCCTCACTGATGGGCAGCATTTAGATCCTTCCCTCCATGAAAGGCTACTTGAGTAAGAAAATGAGACATGAGATTAGGGAGAGCAGTGTTAAATGCCAGCTTGCTTTGCTTGTGCACATGAAACACCACAAACAGAATTGAAGTGGAAGTTGTTATTTCATTTACAAGCCCAGAATGAGGCAACAATATCACCCAGCTGCAGGGAGAGCAGAGGGGACACGGAGACACCGAGCAGCAGAATTGCATGGGAGACAGGAATCTGTCCAGAACATTTCACATTGGTGAGGCTTCATCTAAACAGCAGCAGCTCAAGGGAGGTGTGGACAAGTTGGAGGAAATCCCAGAGGAATGATGAGACTTCCAGAATACGTGGCCTACAGAGAAAGTTTGAAAGGCAGGGATTATTTAGTGCAGAGATGATGGACAGGAACTGTGGTCACAGCTCTCATGGGTGAAGAAAACTGCACATGAGAGGAAGGAAATAAACTGTTCTCTGGGCCTGAAAAAACTGGAAAAATGAATGAAAAGGCTTAAATTGCAGTAACACAAGTTCAATTGTGGATTAGAAAACTCCCTGACTGTGATGACAATTCAACAGTGGAAGAGATGGAACAGTGAGTTGTGGCTGCCCCATCCCTGGAAAGTGTCCAAGGCCAGGTTGGATGGGGCTTGGAGCAACCTGGGCTAGTGGAAGGTGTCCCTGCCCATGGCAGGGGGTGGCACTGGTTGAGCTTTAACATCCTGCCAACCCAAACCATTCTGGGATTCCATGATTTCATGGATGCAGGCAGAATCTCCATCCAGGTGGGCCAGCTGTGTCACAGGTAGTGCAGTTACAGCTGGGTAACAGCACTGCATGAGGTTGTCTCTAAGAAAACCTTCCAGCATTTTTATTAGAATTCTGTGGTTTACATTTGTCTCCTGCCCAATTTCAGTAAGGCTGTGTTTGCAAGGTAGTGATTCATACTCATGTTTTCTATAACAAATGATCTGTATTCATTTTAATAAAAATATCTTTTTACTTGTTCTTCCTCCCTCAATCCCACCTTGAAACCACTCATCTTTCAGCAATTATTGCCCTTCTAAATGAGATAAATGGGAATATTTTTCTTTTGCAATTAAAATACATTTCTGAGGTTCGAAATTATTTTATTTCACTGTCTAGTTTGTTCCCCTCCTCTGTCAAACACTGTTTTTTTCCCCTTCAGTCCTTTCTAAGTTTTACTTGGAGAAAAAAAATGAAGGAACTGTATTTTTTAATCCCAGTTAGTGTGCCAAGAAATGCCACCATTCTGTGCATAGTGGCCTTATTAATAATGGCATTCAGGCTCCCTAAATAACATGTACCAGGATTCAGGGGATGGAAATCTGGTTATTGCAGCCCACATGAAAATAGCAACTATTTCTTCTGTTTCACACATTTCTTAGTGTCACAATGGTCATTAATACTGAAAGTGTCATTTCTAAATGAACAGAAAGATGCACAGCAAAGCCTTAAGATGAAAAGGATGTTCACCATACAGAGCTGTTCATATAAAATTAAACTGGAGGGTGAGGCGATGTTGCCTTAAATCCCATTATATAATAGGCAAATTCCAAGCAGGAATTTCCATGGGCAGCTCACAGGACTGAATTTTTCCCCACAGACCATGAGCATGTTCTGGTAAATCTCAGTAACTGTGAGCACAAAGAAGCACAAGGACACAGGAGACCAGCACAGGAAGGAGCTTATCCCAGGATCCTGCCACCAGAGGCAGAGGTGATGACAGCAGCTCGAGAAATGCTCAGTATCTGCTCAAAAATAATGAAAATAACTAAAAACAATGAAAGCAAAAGACTGTTTTTCTGTACAAGCCTGTTTACAACTTAAGGATTTTATTCCCTCCGCTTGATTTGTGTCACAGTTATTCCAGTCTGGTTTTTTTAGTCTCCCATAAAGCAGTACAAGGTTTCTTTGTAGTTTCTGCTGTACCCCTCTGACTGCACATTGAAGTTACAGTGGCTGACGTTTGCTGGTGACAGGCAGAACAAAAATATTATATATTTTTCATTATATTACACAACATCTCCTGCAGCAGATGCCAGGCAAGCTGCATGATGTTTATTTGTATCCATTACAGCCCTAATATTGAAAATTTCATGTAAAAACCTATATCAGCGTTCCATGCTATGTAAGTTTATGGATTGTACTGTTAATTCCTGAATGGCAGGCACTTAAAATAATTTAGGAAATTACACTTACTAGTAATTATTTTATTTGCCTGCACTGAGGCAGGACAGGACACATTTCTCAGTTTTATGACATTACATGAATTCAATAACTGATTTTTAAGTCTGAATTTTCAATTCAAACTTAATTGAATTCAGAAAGAACTCCACATAAGCAAATCAATAACTATAAAATGGTAAATATTCCCTCTGTTCAGCGTGGGATAATAATGTGGCTGTGCACCTCGTTCTGTGCCTCTCCTGCTGTGGAAGCATCCAGAGCTACACTCACTCTTCCTGGCTCTGAGTCAGCTCCTCATTCCCATACAAGGCCTTGGTTTGTATTTCAAGGCAGTGGGTTGAATCCACAGCTACATCAAACCTGGATCCTCCATCTGGGAGCTACTGTGGCAACCATATTCCTCTGGGATAAAGCAGTCCAGAAGGCCTTGGAAGGAGCATTGGAGAGCTGGAGACAGAGAATTTTGAGCCTGTGGAAAAGTCCTTTGGAGAACAGACACATCCCAAACTGTGTAAAATACTGCAAATCCCTTCTGTTGATGTCCTTCCTGATGCGAGCTTGTGAAGGGAACATTCCACTTTACTCAGCTCTATTTGTATTGATTTTATGGAAGATACTCAACTAGTGCCATGATAGTATCACAAAATCTAAATATGGAATGTTTTTTGGCGTTACTCCCACTAAAATGTACAAACACTTTGTGTTTCTCTTCCTCTGTTCCTGTCGCATGTGAGTGAATGAAAACAATGTAAAACTCCTACTCTGGTAACAAAACAATAACAATAACACCCATCGCTGTCTCGCAACAAAATATTGTGACTAATCTAACCTTGGCAGCTTTTCCCTTCTTCCAAGGAGCCTTCAGGTTATCTCACCTGCCAGAACTCAGCTGCCACGTCCCACCTGCCATAAAATCTTCCAATCTCATCATTCCCTCTCCTCTGAGTCCTCGCAGGGCTCCCACGGGAGGATCAGGGTCCATCTGCAGCCCTTGTTCTCTGTGTTGTGTCTGGACCAAAAATAACAGATGCCCATGAAGTTTCTCCCTCACAAAAACCTTTGATGGCAGCTCTCCATACCCTCCCTGTTCAAAAATTACTCCAGCACAGAGGCAAATAATATCTATTTCTATAATAAAACCAGGCCTGGAGACTCTTCTACACTCCAGCACAGGAATGGCAGGGATACCAAATACAGTGTACTGAGCTATCCCACAGATCTCTAAATAACTGGTTGTACGAATTTACCTGAACCCTGTTTCAAATGAACTGGCCTCAAAAACAAGCTGCACAGTTGTGTGAGTGCTCACACTGCTGAATCAGGGACACAAAGAGGCTTTGCGTGGGTCCTGTGTTGAGCAGTCATCCATTACATGGAAATAATGCTTCTTCCCAACCAGATTTAATAGGACATAAAACGTTGGAGGTAGATCTCATCTTACTCCAGCTCTGAATAGGCTTTTCCTCCAATACCACAGCACATTTGTTATAATGCACTAATATATTAAATAATTTAATCTGATCAAACAGGTAAATAAATGCGTGGTGCTCCGTCTCTGGTTGTGCACAGTCACTGTTCCATGAAAAGCAGGAACTTGTAATGGGAATCCCCACAGCAATTATACACTAAGAATATTTAACATTTACCATCACATCTCTCTCATTAGCATGATCTGTCTCTCCAGTACTTTGCTGAACATCCAGGTACAGCTGCCTGTGACACTTTGTGTCTCTGAACAGGCTCAGGTCGAGGTCTGAGGCAGCTGAGGGTGAAATTAGGCTGATGAAAATGGGGAAGGTTATGTGATGCTGTCAAAATGAGAGGCTGAGAGACAGAAAGATCAATTTTCCTTTGCATCCCATTTTTTCCACGCATACTGTGCTGTTGCAACCCTTTTGCTTCACAGTCTCTGGCATCCTCATTGCATGGATAAATCTGGAGGTATGGATTTTAAGGGACATACCTGTTTGCTCACAAGTCCTTTGGGAAAAAGCTGCTTGAGAGGTGACAGGATTCCCGTGAGGAGGTGACAGGGCATGGAGAAAGGGAGATTATTCTATGCGGGAGCAGACAAAATACAGGTGAGCAGAGGTGCAGGAGGGGAGAAACAACCCTGTGGGGAACGTGAGGGACCAAGAGGGAAAAGAGTCTATTCAGAAGGGCCTTATCGGCCAAGTGGGTGAAGGTGAAGAGTGAAACCCTTAGGGGAATGGTGGCCTCACCCTCCCTCGGGGTGAGGGGCTGAGGGAGCAGCTCTGGGGCTGAGGAAACGATGGCGGGAGATGGGGAGCTGAGGGGAGCGGCCACTGCGAGAGGGGGCGAGATCCCCGGGGGGGCGACCCTGGGGGAGCGGGACAAGGCGCTGAGGGGGCAATTCCGGGGGATGTGAGGTGAGGCGCTGAGGGGAACGATTTCAGCGGGCTGAGGCGAGGCGGTGAGGGGACCGCACCCGGTGCGGGTGAAGCGCTTCGGGGAGCGCACTCGGTGCAGGTGGGTCACTCCCCCCGGTCCGTGTGAGGCACTGACGGGACCGTCCTGCGGTGTAGGCGATGCGTTCCCCCCGGTGCGGGTGATGCACTGCCGGGACCGTCCCGCGGCGCGGGTGACCCGCTCCCCCCGCTCCCTGTGAGGCGCTGACGGCCCCGTCCCGCGGCGCAGGGGGTGCGGCGGGACCCGCCCTGTGGGCGGGGCTCGGCGCGGGGGGCGTGTCCCGGCCCGGGGGGCGGTGCCCGGCGGGGGCGTGTCCCGGCAGGGAGGGGGCCGGCTGTATTGTTCCCCGCGCGGTGCACGCCGGGCCCGCCCCAGCCCCCAACATGGCGTCGCGCTGTCAGCGGTGTGTGTGAGGCGGGCGCGGGACGCGGGGCTGCGGGGCGGGCACGGCGGCTCCCGGGGCCCCCCGCACCGCCGCCGCCGCGGTGGCAACGCGCCGCTCCTCGCTGCTGCCCGCCGCGCCCCGGCTGTCCGGCGCCCAGGCCGCTGGGGACGCGCCTGCCCCCGCCCTGCCCCCGCCATGGGCGGGTAGCGGGACCCGCCTCGCCTCAGCCCTGCGGAGCCCCCCCGCCCTCCGCGCCATGGGGTCCCCGGCGGGAGCCTCGGCGGCCGCGGCCACCGACTCGGCGCAGTGGCTGTCGGTGAAGGAGGAGACCATCTTCCTGCACGACGGGCTGATCCGGGTCACCGACCTGGCCGAGCTGCCCAGCGAGATCATTGGGGTGGCCGAGCCCGGAGACACCGAGCTGGAGGTGAGGCGGCCTCCGAGCCGAGGGGGGACGGGGCAAGGTGAGGGGTGAGGAGGAGGGGGATGCCCTCGGGAGAGGGGACGGTGGTAGCGAGGCCTGAGGCGAGGAGGATGGGGGTGGGGGTGCAGGGAGGATGACTAGGGGAGGATGGGGGGCCGGGGTGGAGGATGGGGGGCCGGGATGGAGGATGGGAGATGCGGATGCGGGACGAGCCTTCTGGGGTACGGAGCCAGCCGCTGTCGAGGCGTTCTGCTTGTTTTAAGGCAATTTAATTTATTTCAAATAATAACGAAGCTGGGCTGGAGCTGGGCTGGAGGGTGGCGAGGCACTGATGTCAATGGTGGGTGAAGTATTGGGCTCCCTCCTTGTTTTGGATCCATAAGGTTTGGAATTCCGAGCCGCACTCGTGTATTTCAACGTGGCCTTCGGCCCATTTATTTTCATTGAAGGCTTTGTATCTTTTTGCTATCACTTTTGGGCGGTTTGTAATTGATGAGCCTTACAATAAGATGCGCCGAGGGTACTGAGGTGCCTGGGTGTTTTTATTCAGCTGTTGCCAGTGTTATTTATTAGAGAGCCGGGAGGGCAGCCCGGATTTTCCTTCCAGCTTTTTCCCTTGCCCGAAGTGCCGGTGGTTTTGGCTGCAGGCAGGCGGTGCAGCTGTTTTATCTTCGAGGAGACGCTGAAGGACTGAATGTCACGGATTATGGGTTGCATCTATTTTGTAGGCTGCATTTTTTTCTCCCTCTGTGCCTCCCGTCTCCTCTTTCACCCCGCCCTCCTCGCCGGCGCTCTGGCTCCCAATGACACAGGGGCTTTGTCAGAGGAGCTGAGCCGAGAGGGGCCGGTTCTCAGGAGCTTTATCTCCGGGCTCTGCTCGGTTACAGGCATTTTAGGCCGAAAAACCCTTTTAGCGAGGCTTTAGTGTTGCTCAGCAGAACCCACGAGCCAGTCCTGACAACATCATTGTTCCTCGGGTGACGTGGAGTTTTATGGTGTTTGGGAAAACTTCCCACAGCCTTATCACGGGAAGAGGGTTTTTGCTGAATGTGTGTGTTCGGCTCTGTGTGAGGTGACACTGGGAGCTGGGATGGGAAAATCAGCTGCTCCCATGAAATGGATGTTGGCAAATATCACATGAACAGGAAAAGAGGTACTTTTAAGGTGGATGACTTATCTCTGCGTGTATAAACACAGAATGATTCTCCCTTGTGATCAGGGGCCACTCTGGCTTTTAGTGCAGTTTGTGTTCAGGAAAATATTTTGACTCTATGACATAGTTCTAGAAGCAGCACTGAGTCTAAAATCTGTTGTTATTCACGTTATATCATCATAAAGTAGCGTATCCTTTGAAAACCAACCCAAACCTCATTTTAAGATCTTCCAGCTAGGCCAGAAGTCTGTTCCAGCCTGAAACTTGACACGTGGCTTCACTTGACAAACACTTTAGCCCTGGAGAATTGTTTTGTTAGTATAGGAATGTTAAGAAACTCCAGTTGTTTGGGGGAGATAGGGAATTGGTGTTGCTGTGGCTTGTTCTTTATGACGCTTTTATAATCAATGTTTCAGCAATGCTACTGTTTCACATGCTTTTTCCTGTTCCAGAGATATTTTTTCCCCCGTTGTGAATGTTTTCGGCGCAAAACTTTGAAATAAATAATTAAATCAGACTTTTTGCTGTGCTGCTTATTTTGATAACTACTGACTTTGACTTATTTTCATCTTTGTTCTTAAGTCACAGAATATTAAAGCCTCTTATTGCCTTCCACTGGTAGAATTGATGATCACAAGTGACTTATTTCTCACATATTGTATTTTGTGTTTGAAATTGAGGGGGAAGGGTTTTAAAAAAAAAAATTAAATTTCAAGTGTTGTAAATATAAATTATTTAGCTCATATTTTTTTCTACCTTTTTTAATGTTGCTATTTTAATGAGGGGGCTACTTTGGTGCTCTGGAATGGCTTTGAGGAGCCATTTTGTGGCAATATGTGCACACATCTCATTGAAGTGTGGCCATGCCATCAACTGCTCCACTCAGGAGCTCATTTGCACTGTTTCTACTCCTCTTTGCAATGTAATAAATATCTTTGAAAATGGTCCAGATAGAAATCTCTTGGGATGAGCTCTTGGACAAGGGTAGGAGATGCTGCAGCTGCTGCTTTGATTAGTAAACTTCTTTAATTCACTTCTTGGGCTTCATCAGTGGTGGTCAGAACCCTGAATTTCTGCCATAAAGTGCTTAATTAAAAATGTATACTCTTTAATACTTCAATGGATGTTTTTTTGGGTGGAGATGTGTGTCATTCTGGTCTGTTTTGCTTAAATATCCCTTTGAACGCTTATTGGGGAATAATGTCAATGTATTTGGATGTGTTTCCTTTGTCCTTCTGTTCAAAGGTTTTGGCTATTTATAAAAAGAAAAGCAGAGGGAAAAATGTTACAGTACTGGACTTATGCCAAGAAAGGCTTATGAAAAACTTATTATTTTGTGATTTTGACTCCCATTCAACTTTTATTTATATTTTTATACATTTGTATACATATATATATATATATAAATGGTAAGTTACAAGAGAATTAACCTTCTCATTCATCTGAAAGTAACTTATTCTAGGAGTATGTTTAGTTTTAAAGAATGTGGAGGTTTTTGGTTTGTTTTTATTTTTATGTGATGATATTTGCCAACTTCTTAGACTGTCTCAGCATATTTACAAATAACAGGGGCCCTTCTTTTTATTTGCTAGAATTTTGTAATGATATGGATGTAACAGCTGCTCCTGGTGTGGGTTTCCCACCAAAATCTCCTAGTCAAGAGAGACCTGGATTAGTCAGTGATTACTTGAGCCTTTGGACCCTTGTTTTAAAGCCTTTCATGCAGAGAAATGACTTTCAAAGTGCAAAGTCTTCTGCTTCTTGGAGACAACCTCCTGTGACAGAGGTGGAGATGTTGCTATGACATTTTGACCGATCAGTGCCCACCCAGGAGGGACAGTTTGGGGGAGGAAGAGCTGGTCTGTAATGTGACACAATGGAAACTGCAGGAGTGGCCTGAAGTTGTGTCAGGGCAGGGTCAGGTTGGATCTCAGGAGAAGGTTCTTCCCCCAGAGGGTGGTTGGGCACTGAACAGGCTCCCCAGGGAATGGTCACGGCCCCAAGGCTGCCAGAGCTCCAGGAGCGTTTGGACAATGCTCTCAGGGACAGGGTGGGATTGTTGGAGTGTCCTGAGCAGGGCGAGGGGTTGGACTGGATGATCCTTGTGGGTCCTTTCCAACTCAGCAAATTTTGTGATTCTGTGACTTCCAGAATCTTCCCAGCCAAACATCTTTCATGGCTACAGTAACCCTGGGAGTGGGGTGAGAGTTTGTCTGAGGGTGGAGAGGTCCCTTCAACCAGGGAGATTTAATTTACCAGTGCACCAGAGTCAGTATGGAATCATGGGATGGTTTGGGTTGGAAGGGACCTTAAAGCCCATCCAATTCCACCCCCTGCCATGGGCAGGGACACCTTCCACTAGCCCAGGGTGCTCCAAGCCCTGTCCAACCTGGCCTTGAACACTTCCAGGGATGGGGCAGCCAGGGCCTCACCACCCTCACGGGGAAGAATTTCTTCCCAATATCCCATCTAAACCTCCTGTCTGTCAGTGTGAAGCTGGCAGGTGTTGCTCTGCACTGAAAATGGGTACCTTTAATAAAATATAAGTTTAAAAAAAAATAGTAAAAACTAAAATAAAAATAAGAAAAAGTTGTGACCTTTCCTCTTCTCCCCAGTGTGGCCTGGGCAGACCCTCCATGGAGCAGTTGCAGAACTGAAGTCAGAGCTGTTTTGGCAGCTCTTTTAGTGCCAGTCCTGTGTCTGACTTGTGTTTTCCATAAAACGATTTAGACTCAAAGGTTTCTGCTAAACTCGAAGCTTTCACCCATTTTCCTCCCAGACTAGAGAAAACATTTTGTCACTTTTCCCTGTTTGCTGAAGGAGGGAGCAGGTCTCTGTAATTATCTAGGTCAGTGCTTCCCAAACCTTTCCGGTTGTGACCTCACTTCCATCTACAAGCTTCACCTCTGTCAGGCTGAAAGTCCCTAATGCACCACCAACAATTGAGTCTTTCCTAAGTGGGTGACCCCTCTTGGGGTCGTGACCTCTGCCTTGGGAACTGCTGATCCAGGC